AAAAAATAAAAAAGGAAAAAAACAAGAAGAGAAGAAAGAAGTATGGTTGGTGAAGAATAAGGAATGTGCGTGGACTGAATAAAGCTGTCTTAGAAGAAAGACAGCCAGAATGCTCCTTAGAGGCAGGCTGGTGAGACTCCCTCTCACACATTTGGACGTGTTAGCAGGAAAGACCAGTCCCTGGGGAAGGACGTCACACTTGGTGTGAGGCACAAGGTCAGCAAACTTAAGAGGATGACCTCCACGAGGTGCATTGATGCGAGGCCGCAACAGGGGGCTCAAGCACAGCAAGGGCGGTGACAATGATCTGCGGCTGGGCAGGGCTTCGTTGGGTGGAAGGTAGAACTGACTCATGACGCTCAGGCGAACCCCTTCTCGCCCTGCACTGGGATCTTAGGGCTGGAAGTTCCTACCCCCCAGAAAGAGTGGCTGCAGTGTTCACCCCACAGCGTAACATCCAGTTACCAGATGCTCAGCCATGCACCGACAGGGTCCCCAGCCTCAATGGACCTGTGTCCTGAGACCGGGGGACCTGGAGGTTGTGGGCACAGACAGGAGTCGTACATCCAGTCCCAGGCAAGAGAAAGTGACTTTCGCCCCTCTGAGCGTCAGGTTTCTCATCTCAAGCAGGGGCCTGGAGGGATGGAGGCAGAGGATGTGAGGGACGGGCCTGGTTGGCACCTAGCAGCGCACAGAAAGCACCTGGCAAATGGCAGCTGCTGATGCCACCGCTCTTACCCGGTCCAGAGAATGAAGTCGGGCTCCGGCAGGATCTGCTTCATCGCGTAGATGGACGAGTTGATAAGAGCCCAGGGCGAATCACAGAGGTAGTCGCCCCAAGGGCCCGCGTTGGGCACAGGCTGGGAGCCGGCTGAAGGACACACCTGGAGAGGGTCTTCAGATTCCTTGTAGTCGGGGTCCAGGTGCAAATCAGAGATGTGCCAGAACTTTCCTGCAGAGAGAAAGAGACCGTCCCTGAGCACAGGTGCCGCCTTGAGCAATTCAAGGGCGCCTGGGCTGTAGGAGTGAGGGGCTGTTCACAGAGAGGAGGAAACCTCCGCGGGGCACCCGGGGCAAAGAGAAGACCGTCCAAGCGTGTGCCGTCCCCCAGGACAGCACTGAGCACAGCAGACAGGTGGACAGAGCGCAGGCTCGGCTCCATCCCCTGCTCAGCCACCTTTGGTGGGGTCAGCAGCAGCCGCAGGACCATGTCCGTCTTCAAGGTCAGCAGATCGCTGTTTTAAAGCAAGAGAGAGTGGGAGGTAAGGGCACAGGCTCTGGAGTCAGTCCCTGTGCGACCTTGGGCACCTTAATTTACAGTGAGCCCAGACCGAGGAGTGCAGGTAGCATGTCGGGCTGGCAACTGTAAGGTCATTGTTCGAACCCATCGGATGATCCACAGGAGAAAGACGAGGCTTTCC